TTCTGGAACATGGCCATACATCATAGAAAACTCACAGCAACCCAAAAACAGCAGCAACTTTAGAATGCTGAAAAGGAGCCCCCTGAATAAACTTGAAACAGTAGTATTTTAGGTAAAGCTCCCACTTTAGTTACTTCACTTAGCCAACTTGTATGCCACTCTTCCTAAACTTAAATCATGGAAGACTGGGTTGTGTCAGTCTCTCTGCATGGCAGTAAATGGTAGGGAACAAAAATTGGTGGCTCGCATTGGTTTCCCCGTGTGGATACAACTAGGCTTCCAGATTCTGCCTTTCTCCCGGGAAGACTGAAAGGAAAAGTGTTCAGCCTCTCTCTTCCATGCTTAGTGGCCTAGCAACACAGTATGATGCTTCAGCCATTGGTAGCTACACTAAGGGTGCATCTATATTGCAGAACTAATGCAATTGGACATTATTTTTAACTGTCATGGCTCAATGCTATGGAGTCATGGGAGTTGTAGTTTTACAACGTTTTTAGCTTTCTCTGCCAAAGACAAACTATTCCATAGTATTGAGCCAAGGCAACTAACATGGTACCAAGCTGCATTAATTCTACAGTGTAGATATACCCTAGGTTTTGCTACATTACAAATAGACGGAGGTCAGAGTATCTTATCTCCCAAATGCACACATATGACTCGCAACTTGTTTAACCATGGGCTGGACCAGATTTGTATATATGTTTCTAAGAAAGTATTCATTTATTTTGGGGATTTACTTGATGGGATTTACGAAGACATTTTGACTCAGCTCTTAGAATGCTAAAGGACACAAAGAGATTTCAAAGTAAATTGAAGTCCCCAGAAATCTTGAAGGACATAGTACTGTTGGTATAGGTTTATTTTTGCTGTTTTAATTTCGCACCGCGCTTTGCATTCCACCCATGGGAGAAAAGTGGGATCTAATAATAATAATAATAATAATAATAATAATAATAATAATAATAATAATAATAAAATAATAATAATAATAATAATAATAATAATAATAATAATTTTATGCACACATTATTCACCGATACATCACACAGTCCTGGACACTTGGGAAGTGTCTGACGTGTGATCCAATACAACAGCCAGCAGAGTGAACTTGTTTGCCGTAGACTCATCTTGTTGTGTTTCAAATAATAATAATAATTTTAAATTTAATCTGCTGTGTTTCTAATCTTTCTCACCTGAACTTGAACAAAACTGACGAGCAAGCTCCTGGTGGTCTGCGAGCAATGTTAACAGCTTAACCGTTAGATGGACGACAAACAAGGGGCTTTCAGGGGATATGCAACGGAGCAGAGTCTGTGTTTGGCTATGCAACAAAGTTTGGAAACTTTTGAGAAAAAAAGAATAAATTAGAATTGACTGGAATTTTTTTGGATGTGTGTGATTTTTTCAAGCAGTTTACTGCCATAGCCCCCCCCCCCCAAAATTTTTATGTAGAACAAGCCAATGCATGTTAACACATAAATCCTACTTTGTTTAAATGGAGTTTATTTTACTCTAAGTGCATTTAGGATTGCAAGATGAATATCCTCACAAAGACAAATGTATTAGGAAACTGAATAGGGAAAAATCACTGTAGCCTGAATTTTTACCAGTACTCTCAATTGTTCAACATTGTAACTCTCACTGTAAATCTCACAGAATTACTCCAGTTGGAACTAAAAGCTGAAATTGGGCTAGTATGTTTAGATATCTAATTATTTTGCATACACATTTACAGATACAGTAAATGTTCAGAAGTTTGTACATGGGCCTGAAATAATTTCACTTCAGTGGAAGAGACTTTCAGACAAGAACTAGACAATTTAGGAGTATATTCTACACAACTCCAGTGCAATTAATATGCAACAGGCCAGTTCCTTTTGTACACCATTCATTGACATTTAATTTTTTTTGCCTTTGAAATTCCTATTTTTTCCACTAAGATAGTGCTTTTACCACAAGTGCCTTCTAGGTGTAAATTTAACACCTTTAATTTAGCTCTTCTATTCCAATGCGTGATCAAAATGTTTCCATTTACTGAGGTTAGGGGGTACATATTACTGTGAAAGTAGGAAAGCTGCAAATTAAAAAAAATCACCTTTTTTTCCTAAGAGAAAACCTTCCTAGGAATCTCTAGGTCATTCAACATGACTTGCAATAAAATCATTCAGGAGGACCTATAATTGCCTAGAAAAGTGTCTAAGGATTTCCAGGTCATCCAGCATGACTCTATTGTTAACTCCTATCTAAATCTGACCATAAGCCACATTGGAAAACCTTGAGATTCTTGGAAGGACTATTTCAATCAAACCCACAAAAATGAAACTTGCAAATATGGATGGGCAACTATACATTCCAGCTATTTTTTTACCTTAATAATAAGTCTGTTGTTGATCTTTCTGCCAACTTCACCAACACTCTCAGGCACTGATTCATGATGCCATGTCTCTGGCACCCCATTGATGTGGCACATGAAGCCAGGAGCTGCAGCACCATTTTAAACAAAGGATGTTGGGACTGGTCAACATTTGAAACATCTAGTTCTGGATTGGGTTCCTGAGGGTTGGATCTGAGATGCTTACTGCAGGTGATAGTCTTGTCCTTCTCCACCATTTCTGTGCATCCCAAACCACAATCTGGTTTCACATTCGAGGAAAGTAGCTTGTAAATAACATCCCAGCTGTAAAATACCAAATAATAAAGAATGCCCAGAGACACAATTGCTAACTCTTCTAGAGCAGATAAGATATCATCTACACTTGATGTTCTACTTGAGGAGCTTCTGGAGGAAGACGTGGATTGGTTTCCAGAAGAATTACTTCCAGTTTTTGTCATTAACGAGAGGGCTTGGTGATAGGCACTAATGTGATGCTCCAAAAGGGGAAGAAGGTGTACTGCCCCAGCAATTTTACAGCGCTTTGGGTGAGAGATTTGTCTCCTGCTTTCTTCTGAGCTTTCTTCCAATGAACCTTCATCTACAGCAATTAAATTTAATCCTGTCAAGGCAAGATTTTGAGCAATTTTTAATGAAGACTCTTCTTCTTGAGAACTTTCAGTTCCATCACTGGAGCTCCTTGCAGAGCCTCTATGTAAACAAGAGAAGAGAAGAACATCAATCCAATTTGCTTAATATCATGCATGTCTGTTGAAACTCTGAAAACAGTGAAGCAAGTAAATGTTTTCCTTTTTTTAACGTTACTCAGTACCACCACCTTCCCTAGTTGCCAAGGCTTGCAAATAGTAAAATCTCCGAAGCAAATTTAATATAAAGACAGCATAAATCAACGATGTCTTAAGGAGACTGTCTCATAGAGTATTCTTGCCAAGATTTATTCAGAGGAGGTATGCCCAACTGAGAGAATACGGTGTGTCACAGCAGGAGCAACTCTAAGCTGAATCCTGCATTCTAAAGTCATGCAGGCCTTGTTCCCAGCCACTCTACCAGTGCACCAACAAAATGGGGCACATTAAACCACCTCCACTAAATTTGGCAGAGACTTGATAGATAGGTTAGGCAAGTAGTTTCATATTATATTACAAGTCATAAACTGTTTAAATTCAGCTGCTTGGAATCCTATACAAGAAAAATCTAAATTAAATAATGAAATAAGGGCTAGATTCAACTCCAAATCAAGATGTACAGATTTCAATGCTAACAGAGAGGCATTTAGTTGACCTGCCAAGTGTGTCCACTTCTGCAAATGTCTGATCCAGTCATTGTGACATATGTTTTAACAGACTAGCATAAGACATTCTCCAAGGAGCTGCTCTTACATTTTCATAACTTCGACGAGAGCAAAATGGGGTCAAACTAAAACTGGGGCCAGTTAAAAGGAGCATGTGAATTATTCTGACAGCTTTGTTGATTATTGGTCAGTTTTGGCATAGACCTATTAATATGTTCTGTTTCATCACTAGCTAGGACTTATGGGAGTTATAGTTAAATAATATCTGAAAGGCCACACATTTCTCATTCCAGCAGTACAAAGAAAGGGGTGGGAAAGGTGTAAAAACTATTATTAATAGTTAATCGTTAGTTAATAGTTAATAACACATTATTAATATATTATTAATTATGTGGACCATTTTATGTCTTGTTCATTTATGTTGGTTTATAATTTATTGAGCTGTTTTTGATTTGCTTATTGATTTGTTTACATATTACTGTCAGCATTGAATATTTGCCACTGTGTATTTTGTTGTGAGCTGCCCCGAGTCCCTTCGGGGAGATAGGATGAGTTATAAATAAAGTTTAATTTCATTTCATGCGTGTGGGCAATCCCATAATTGTAATATTCCTCAGTCAATGAATACTTTAGAGGGGTTTTTGCCAGTTCTTTCCTCTAAAATATAGTCTACAACGCCTGATATTCCTTGGGTGAGACCTGTTGAGTACCCAAGTATTAAACAAGCCTGACCCTATTTAGTTTCCAAGTTCAGACAGGATCTAGTGCCTTGAAGATGCTTAGTTCCTACCCTGAAAACCTCTACTATGCAACACTGTGTGGCAGATCTCGCTTGATTCTCAAGTTATTGTTTATTCTATGGAGGACAACTGTAGGATTTTAAAGAAGAATGATATTACAAGGGGACAGATTAGAAAAGGAAATAACTGTCTTTCCTGCTAACTCAGTTATAGTGTTTTAGTTATTATGATTAACTATAAATATTCTTAGCATGCCCAGTACTTTAAAAATACGTACGTGTTGGAAGAATTAGGCAGAATGGCTGTACTAGGCTGAAACTCAAGATTATGACTAAGAAGATAGCAGAGTCCTAATGATGATTCTGGAACAACATGCTGCTTCATCAGTGTGTTTATCAAAATGGAACCTGCAACAAGGTGTAAATCCAGTGTTCAAGATATAAATCACTACAGGAAACAGATATTGGTACAGTCCAAAAACCAACAATATTAACATTGGCTATATATTTCAACATTGGATACTAGGTTAATTAATCCTGACTATACTTTAAAACATAACCTAGTCAATCTGTTTTAGTGCACACCATGTACCATTTTGTCTAGCTATTTGCTTACAAAATGCCAGGCATAACACAGAACAGATGACTCATTGCAGGTCCTCATTGCCATGCCTGCTGTAAGCACAATCAATCAAAAACTGAAAAACTGTGTTGTTTTTATAGCTATTTTGAGAATAATTATTATAATATAATAATAATAATAATTTATTACCCTCCTCTCCCTGCATCTCAAGGCAGGATACAACACCATTAAAACAAGAGATAAAACACTATTAAAAGACATACAGCAAAATACACAGAATTAAAATACAAGTTAAAATCCAGTGATAAAATGCAGATTAAAATTCACAACTAAAAGTTGAGTATTATTATTTGCATTATTTCTACCCCGCTCATATCAGCCTGAAGGCGACTCAGAGCGGCGTACACAATCGGCACAATTCGATGCCATAAAAATACATACATTGATAAACAAAAGAACATTATAGTGCAATTAGACAGAAAGACAATGCATAATAACAATTTTAAAACTAAAAACTATATCCTCTCATTCAAATCCTTATCCGTTGCAGGCACAGGTGAAGGGTCTACAATTGGACCTCCAGACTTGCTGGGGTACGGGGCACAGAACCCCCCATGAAAGTGGAAAAACTACCAATAAAAACACTTTTACCTGAGGGAACACCCTTCTAGGAATCCCTAAGCTGGAAGTGTTTGAGGACTAGAGATTCCTAGAGAGGTTTTTTTCTCTTAAGATTTCCTAGGTTCTCCAGCATAACTCAACAGTCCACTTCTAATGGAGGTTAACCACATTCCCTCTGGAGAACCTAGCAATTCCAAGACAGACCATATTAATCAAATCTGTGAATAATCAAATCTAAAAAAATTAAACCTGCAAATGCAGAGGGCTGGCTACAAGTTTCCAGCAATTAGAGGAAACCCAAATACAAGAGCAATTCAACGTAGCTGAAACACAGTTTTTTAAATTCATAATTTCAGTTCATCCACTGGAATAACAAAGGGTTGGTTAAGCAGTTATTTTTAAATCCATGCTTAAAGGTGATAACCACAGTGTACCAAGTTCTGTATTTGGTAAATGACTGTAACAACTGCATGTGGAAGCTTAGCTAGGTTAGTTCCAAAACATGGTTTTAGCATAACCACTTACTAATTTCCATGGTACATGTAATGTGCTAGTTTAGAAATATTAAAACATTGCAATTGCTTTGATTGGTTCATTTTATGATTCCAGCAATTAGAAATGTGACTACTATTTGGGAAAGAGGGGCACATTCAGGGACCTGTCACAGAATCTCCACTTTCCGAATAATTACAGCTAGAAAACTCTAGAGCAGTGGTTCTCAACCTGTGGGTCCCCAGGTATTTCGGCCTACAACTCCCAGAAGCCCCAGCCAGTTTACCAGCCAAAACATCTGGGGACCCACAGGTTGAGAACCACTGCTCTAGAGCAAGGTGGGAAAGAAGATAGGTCAGCATCTCTGTGAAAATCTGAAGCACATTGAGAAGGATTTCATAATAGTAATACAGGTCACAGCCTAAACTAGCAGAAGAAGGAGATCAAGGCAGCAGTACACCTGGCACAACAAATTCTGAGTAAGCAAACCCAGCCATAAACATTTCATACAATAAGGATAACAGGTGCCTGCATGGCTCAAAAACAAAGACCCTGCATTAATGTATTAATCATGCCAACACACTTGTATACTTTGCCTTATAGGGAACAGGAACACACATTACGTGCTTCTTAATATTACTAGTTACTAAAAACTGAATTTGGGGGACTGCAAAAGCCAAGAACACACAATTTTGAAGTTTGTGACCTATGCACGTGGCTGGTGATTATCTTGCAGAATCAACCCCCTCATTCTGGGATTTGACTTTTGTGGATTTGATTATTCATTGATCTGATTAAAATGTTGGTTTCTAGGAATCATCAGAAGTTCTGCTCTTTTGTTTCCAAGGCAGAAGCAGGAGGCTGGCATGCTCCCCAGAGGCAGTGCATCTGCTGACCAGGGCTTGCCTCCACTGCTGTCCTATGCCATATTATAGCACTGATATTTCCAAGGACTCAAATTGTCTCCTTCACAAGACCTAAGAATGAGTGTCTGGTGACTGAGCCTTGCATGTGGCAAAGAGGCAGAAGCATGAGTAAGTTGAGATAACCCAAAGAGTGCATACCTTGTGGCACACCTGCCCACCAGGGCTTGCAGCCACCTCTGTTGCTGCACTACGGCATTTCATTAATAGTGACTTCATCATGCACATGTGGGGGTCCTGAAAGTAACCCCCCACAGATATTGTACGTTGGTTGAGAAGATTTTTTTTTTCGTGTCAGGAATGACTTGAGAAACTGAGAATTGCTTCTGGTGTGAGAGAATTGGTCATCTCCAAGGATGTTGCCCAGGGGACACCCGGATGTTTTGATGCTTTACCATCCTTTTTGGGAGGTTTCCCTCATGTCCCCGCATGGGAGCTGGAGCTGACAGAGGGAGCTCATCTGCGCTCTCCCAGGATTCGAACCTGTGACCTGTTGGTCCTCAGTCCTGTCAGCACAAGGGTTTAACCCATTGCGCCACCAGGGGCTCTTGGTACAGAAGTGTAAATGCTGTTTGTGTAGCTATACTGTAGCCAAACACAGTACGGTCCAGCAACAATTTGTAGTTGTGGGAGACCTAACTTGACCCTGTGAACATTCAATTAAATAATTGACACAGGCTGACAGCCAGCTTCCAGAGAACTCTGTGCTAAGGCAGAATCTGCCACAAGTTGATTATTCCAAATCCATGGTTTCAGAACTCTTTCAATTAACATGTATATCACATTGTAGTTATTAGTGCATCATGGGGGGAACTCAAAGAAAAAGAGTAGTGCAGAGTGTCTAGGTCTAGGAGGATCAAGGGTCACAGAAATTGGCTAAGGACGTGTGTTCGCAGATGACCCCAAGGCTGCACTTTGTTTGCCCTGTTCCATGGGAATATATTGTATGCTTTCTCATACAGATTCCAAGCCTAACACTAATGAATGTAATTATAGGATTTCTCAGGTGGAATTACCTTGCCTTTGAGCGCGAACATAACTCATTTCTTGCTTCACAGTCTCAGTTTCAAGGTCAGGCATCTTACTGTCTGAAAAGAAAGGTTTGCAGTAATCCAAGAAGGAAAATTAAATCTGTTTTTGGCTTTTAGTCCATCTAGACTGCTAATATTCTTCTTGATGACATTCATTTGCTGACATTCATTAGCAAACAGTGATTCTACCAGATTTAAAATGCACGGAAACAAAATGCAACCCAGGAGTACCCCAAAAGGCCAAATACCATGAAATGGAAGTGGAGTCCTCCAAAGAATCCCTACAGGCAGGACTGGAGCCACAGTAAAAACATGCCAAATTCTTTTTGGAGTGACTGCATAGAAGGCCTGGCTCATCTTCCCCTTCTAAGCACATTCTAAGGTTTGTTAAAGTTTTATACTAAGGGATTTCAACAAACTGTCTGGATCTATGAACCTTCTGGAACAAACTGTTAATTTTGATCCACTATCTCTGTAAAGGCTGTGCATAGCCAACAGGTAAAACCAGATCAGATGATGATTTTTCCAAGACAACAAAACTATTTCTACCTCTATTATCCACGGACTATTACCCACTAAATCAATACAGAAAAAGGCAAGTATAATTCAATGACATGCATAAGGTTAGATATTAACTCAGACATGGCCATGTGTCTTAGCAACCATGAAATCCAGAAACCTGCAGACAAGGTGACTCTAGCATGTATACTGTAGTCCTCCCCATGCCATGACCGAAAGCAAATATTTTAAAGATGTAAGTGACAGGTTTTCATGAGATATGTTGTGTTTTCATTTATTTTGTTATTACAATTTATATACGTGACTGTATCTCTTATAAGAGGTCAGTTTAACCTCCAGTTTGCTTGGAAAACCAAATTACTGTGTTGCAAAATGATGCATATCCAAAAAAATGTGCTATCAACATGAAAGCTCTGTCCTGGTGCATTCTATTTCAGAAAAATAAAGATGGTGGATGTAACCAGAGTGGGGGAGCATTAGGAAGCAATGCCCCCCTGCAACTCTCACCACAGCAATAGGACCTCACACTTGTCTGGCTAAGTCAGACCTGGCTACCTATTTCCTATTCTTTCCTGTAACACCTGCACTTGAGCCCAATAATGTTGATTTCAACAACATTTGTGTTTCCCATAAGATTTGCAAATGCTACATATAAGGAAATGCTGACTTACCCTTATTAAACCAGGGAGTCTGGCCTTGCAATGGTATTCTAGAGCAAGCTACTTTAGGTGGTATCTCAGACCCAAAAGAATCCTTTGTGGGATAACCTTTTTTTTCAATCTGAGTACTTCCTTCAATTTTTAGGAGTTTTGGAGGAGTTTTCTTGGGACTAAACCAACAAATAAAATGTTTTTATTAGCCACATGGAAATTGTTCATTCCAAAGTATTCATCAAATTACATTACAAAAAATATTGCACATATTGTTTTGACAGTCTATACCATCAAAATAGTACACATAAATTACAACCTCAGAGGTTCAATGCAATACAGCAAGATAAATAATAATAATAATAATAATTATCATCATCATTATCATTATTTATACCTCACCTTTTCTCCCTAAAGGGGACTCAAAGCTTCTTGACATAAAAGCATTAGTATACAAATTAAAATATACAACTACAGTATACAAAAATATCTGCTAGTCTGAATTATATCTTATTTTATTTGGTCTTTTAAGTAGGATACAAGCAAGTTGGGAAATTTAAACGGTATTTACTAAATATTTCTTTAAAAAATAGAATAAATTCTTCCATGAACAACCGTACTCTTCACTGCACTACAATGTGCAAAGAGGAAACAATAGTGCCATTCAGTCTATTCAGTATTGAACCACAGGAGGCTGCATTCATGGCTGAATGAAGTTCCTGAAACATATGGTACCTGTATACTAAATAATTTACTTTTATTGGTTACCTGGTATATGAAACTGAAGGGGTAACAGGTTTAATTCTTTCACAGTTCAAAAGCTTTATTCTCAGTTCATTCATTTCAGCATCTCTGAACTGTAGCTCAGACTGCAGGGACTGTAACTGAAAGGGAAAAAAGGCTAGATAGAAAAAACTCAATTAAGACAACACAAACCTTTTCAGTAAAAGCCAGCTGTATATGGGTTCATTTTACTGACTGCATTATTATTCATATTTTCTACTATATTATATTCCTAGATAAGACTGGAAGAGGAAATCTGTATGCAATATGACTTTAATATAAGGAGAATAATATAATGAATAAGGTACAGTATTTTTCCATTCAAAAGATACATTAAAACACCAAGGGTTTAATAGCAAGAATGCCATTCCTTTTTATGTTCCAGAAAACCAACAAGAGTTCAAAAACAGATACTAAAAAGTAAAATTATGACAATGGTAAGTTTAGCAAATATACCTGTTATTAAATCCAAATAGAAAACATTATGTCAGTTCAGCAATCCAACTAAATTTTTTTATTTGTGTTTGTGAGATGGTGTGTTAAAAGCTTTGTGAATGAAAAATGGCATTGTAATTGTTTTACATTAGTAAAGAGAGCCTTTGTTCCTAAAAGTGGTATAGAAATGTTTCAAATTCATTAAAATAAACCACAGGCAGGAATTTTTATTCTATTAAATAAGATTGTTCCTTCACTATTTATATATCACAAGCCAGGCTGAAGGTATTTTTTTCTTCTCCGAAACTAAGCTGCTTTTGTAGAAGCAAGTAGAAAAAGAAGAGAAAAAATAATGGCCCGCGTATGAACAAACAATTCTCAGTTGATACCTGAGAATAATATATTTTCCTTTTTTTAAAAAAAAAAAAGTTAATCTTCTCAAATATAATGCCATCTTTTCAACACAAGGTTAAAGCTCACCAAAAGGGAGAGGGAGAGATGTTTGGATGCAAATTTTCATTTGTATTCATTAAATACCTTTTTAGAAAACTCTTTTTCTTTTTCACTTAAAATTTGAGCTTTCTCGTTTTCCAGCACCAAAAAAGATTTCCGCTGTTCTTCCACAACAGATTCCATCTGCTGCATTGAGTCCCGCAGAACCTTGATTTCTCCACTTTTAATGAGGATTTCATTCTGCATTTGCTTCAGCTGCAAAGTTACAGAAGTATTAAAACCAAAATGATAAGGATTTTAGACATCCTCAAAATAATCCCATTATTTTTATTACTAATATTTTAAGGGTACAATCCTGTGCACTTACAGAATATACTCGAGTATAAGCTGACCCGAATATAAGCTGAAGCACTTAATTTTACCCCAAAAAACTGGGAAAACATATTGACTCGAGCATAAGCCAAGGGTGGAAATGCAGCAGCTACTGGTAAATTTCAAAATAAAAATAGATACCAATAAAATTACATTAATTGCGACATCATTAGGTTAAATGTTTTTGAATATTTATATAAAAGTTAACCCTGCACAAGAAAATCCCAAAGAACCATGAGAAAACTATCCAGCCCCCTCAAGAAGTCCGAACTCCACGAAAAAGGATCTGTCTGTGAGAGTGGAACTATTGAAAACTTCTCCACTCCAATGTCACCATCTTATCACATTATAGAACAGTAAACAAGATCCAGAGCTGCATGATTGAGGCCATGGGTCACAGAAACCAAGTCTAAACAAGTTATTTTGGCACCCAAGGCTGCAAATCCTACAAGTACCTATCTTTCCCTCTGGCAGAAAAAGTACAATAAATCCACTAACAATTTGCTTTTCTCTCATGAAACTCGCAAACTGCCTGAAGTAGCCACCTCATAATGACACCCTAACATGGCCAACTACGCCTTTGGTTTAAATTATAGAGGAAGTGTGCTACGTAGACACACATCACACAGCTCTTTGAACATCCCGTGCTCAACTTAGCCTCAACATGTCAGAAAATGCAGATCTTCAAAAAAAGAAGTGAGAACACTACTGTATCCACAACACCTACTCTATGTAAACATTGCATGTTTATTGTGTCCTTAACATATTTGCTGCTTTTGATATTTGTTAAATGCATTTTTTTCAGTTTCCAAACTGAAGGACAAACTGAGGGTGCACTGGGTTGTTGTAGGTTTTTTTCGGGCTATATAGCTATGTTCTAGAGGCATTCTCTCCTGACGTTTCGCCTGCATCTATGGCAAGCATTCTCAGAGGTTGTGAGGTCTGTTGGAACTAGGAAAATTAGGTTTATATATCTGTGGAATAGACCAGGGTGGAACAAAGAACTCTTGTTTTCTGAAGCTAAGTGTGAATGTTTCAACTGACTATCTTGATTAGTATTTGATCGCCTGGCTGTTGTTTGGTGTGGCTTGTTAGTGCCTGGAGGAATCTTTTGTTGAGAGGATGCACTGTTGGACACACTTCGGAGAAGACATCAACAGATTGGTAGTGCTTTCTTCCAAGTAAACAAGCATTATATTAGGCTGCATCTAAGTTTTTTATTCCAACTAAAAGGATGGAAATAAGGCCCCATATACACTGACCATTTCAAACCAGTGTTGAAGAAAATGGTTTTGCTATACAGATGATTACACAGGACATCCAGAAACCAGTTTCAGGCCTGGATGGTGATTACACAAACCAGAGAGTGCATATGCACATTTAGGGGCTTTGTTTTGTGTGCTTTCATGGAAGTTTGTTGTTTGGCTGTCACAGTTTGAAGCTAGTTTCTAATTGCATTAAATGGTCAGTGAAGATGAGGTCTTAGTACACACCACTTGGAAATATAGACTGCATCTAGACAATCCCTCCTACTCATATTTATCAACTCTCTGGATTTTCCAGGCAGATACTAATACTCACTGAATTATGGGCTTTGCAACAAGCATTCTTTATCAAACAACCTGGCCTGATAGGGTTGAATTCAGCACACTTTTATCTCATTACTACAGTCAACTACATATTGTTATTTCCCTTCCCTAAGCAACAATCACTGCAGCCAAGCAACACATATGCAGGATGTGCAAGAGTGGAACAGATTGCTGCCAAACTGAATTAGGAAGGGAGAAAATACAGTAGTTGAAGAAGGGGAATACACAGTGAGTAAATCAGTTACAATAGGGAAGCAGGGAGTGACTCTTAGGAGGTAAAAAACAAGAGAGAAACAAACATAGAAAGTAATAAATGAAACTAATAATAAAACTTTATATATATCCCGCCCTATCTCCCCAAGGGGACTCAGGGCAGTGTGCACCAAGAAAGTACTGTGTGCACACCAAGCAAACACTTAAGCATTTCTCCATCTGCTTCTCCTTAGAAATATTCTCTCTCAAACCAAGATTTCCAAACACATAAAGTGGCACAAAGCAAATAAAAATTCAGAGGGAAAGATAAATGCTACCCTCTTGTCTATTGTTTCTCCAAATCTGCAATCTTTTGTAGCAGGCAAAAGGGCTCACCTTCAGGGAGATGGTGGCAGGGTATAAGAATAAAATTATTATTATTATTATTATTATTATTATTATTATTATTATTATTACTACTACTAATTCTGATATTCATTCATAAGCCATTTTTTCCCCAATGATGGAACTCAGGGTGGGGTAGACATTATTAAAACGAATACACCTCAAAAACAAACAAAAAATCATTCAACAACATTAAGTATTTTTTAAAACTATTACTCTAGAGAAATAAAGTGTGTGTGTGTATGTGTGTGTGTGTGTGCATACACACACACACACACACACACACACACAAAGCAACATAGCAATAGTACAGTGTCTACTGCCAATCATACAGTTTGTCCTCAAAACACAAAAAATTGAGCATTAAACTCACAGCAAGTATGGGCACAGAAAAACAGAAAACAGTGGGAGTTCAAGGATGAATTAGGTATTGAACATACAAATAATAAACAGCTTACACGTAAGCACATTATTGGATGCCTCATTTCCGTTCACATCTGTTTTAGTGCAATTCGTTTCAATGAAGGTCCTCCAAAGTCATCATGTATGACTCAGTTTTCCTTTGTCATGGTTTTCTGTATCATTTATATTGTGAATAATATGTGTGCAGGGTCAGCTCTAGTAAGGACCTGAATGAGAGATCACCAACAGATACCTGGTGATGAAGGTTTATTTCTGAGGAAGAAACTGGCAAAACTACCTCTGATAATTCCTTGCCTAAAAAAGCTCTGTGAAATTCATGGGTCACCATAAGTCCACAGGGTACACATACATATGCTATTTCTTGTTCTAAGGACAGGTCTCAAGAAGTAGCCCAAGTGTTGATCACACCATTGGCACTCCAACTGGCCTTTCTGTTTTTTAGTATGAGGTTGACCCTTCAAAAGGCAAATTAATTCAATGTTGTGAACAGCTTGCAGAAGAAGTTTTTAAAAGCATCACAAAGAGGAAGGAAACAGACTACCAGCTGTATTTACAGATTTCTCATAGTGGACACAAACAACATACACAGGTATTTTGAAACATTGGAAAACAGTCATTGCATTGTATTGTTGAAGGCTTTCACGGCACAAATCACTGGGTTTCTGTGAGTTTTCCGGACTGTATGGCCATGTTCCAGAAGCATTCTCTCCTGACATTTTGCCCACATCTATGGCAGGCAACCTCAGAGGTTGTGAGGTCTGTTGGAAATGACGCAAGTGAGGTTTATATATTTGCGGAATGTCCAGGGTGGGAGAAAGAACTCTTGTCTGTTTGAGGCAAGTGTGAATGTTGGAACTGGCCACCTCGATTAGCATAGAATAGCCTTGCAGTTTCAGAATCTGACTGCTTCCTGCCTGGGGAAATCTTTGTTGGGAGTTGTTAGCTGGCCCTCATTGTTTCCTGTGTGGAATTCCCATTTTTTGAGTGTTGTTCTTTATTTACTGTCCTGATTATAGAGTTTTTTTTAATACTGGTAGGCAGATTTTGTTCGTTTTCATGCTTTCCTCCTTTCTGTTGAAACTGTCCACATGCTCGTGGATTTCAATGACTTCTCTGTGTAGTCTGACATAATGGTTGTTAGAAACACAACCTACAAACTATCTACAGACCCACTAAGAAAATCCAACAAATGCTATGTTCAGCAAAAGATGAGGGATCCTCTCACCTCTCCAGGAGTCTACCGTATACCATGCAGCTGTGGATAAGTCTACATAGGGACCACCAAATGCAGCATTGTCCAGACACGAATCAAGGAACATGAAAGGCACTGCAGACTAATTCAACCAAAGAAGTCAGCCATAACACCTGGTGAACCAACTGGACACATATTATTTGAGAACACAGAAATGCCGGACCACTCTAACAACCACCATGTCAGACTATACAGGAAATCCATTGAAATCCACTCACAGCAACCCAGTCAGATACATTTGTCCCCAAGAGATCCAAATATTGGGTCCAGAAGATCATCACGTCACATCCCAAGGCACCTGTCTATATTCAATTCAAACATTTTTTTTTCAAAAAAACCCCCAAAAGCTAACCTTTTTCTTAGCTTCCTCATATTGTTCTTGAAGTATTTCAAGCCGAAATTTGTCTTTAGTTTCTTCTGTACTACTTCCTGTTGACAGAAAGGGATTTGTGAATCACGTTCTTTGTATTTGAGATAAGAGATTAATGTTTTTATGAACTCTACACTTATTTCTACTGTCATGCCTTTGCTTCATTTGGGCTAAAAATACAGGGCAGAAGTAATGTGCAGTCTTCCCATCCCTCTCTCACATTGCTAATGGTACCTTAGCACAGAACCAATGTGCTGCAATGTATCCCGGCTGAAAGGGAAAGCACCACACTTGGACCCCTTCCACATAGCTGAATAATATTCCACATTTTCTGCTTTGAACTGGAATATATGGTAGTGTGGACTCAGATATCCCAGTTCAAAGCAGATATTGTGGGATCTTCTGCCTTTATATTCTGGATTATATGGCTGTGTGGAAGGGCACTAAAGCTAATTCAAGCATAAAAGTTGGCTACCCGTCTCTCAATTTTTAAAAGGTATTGCCCATTTGGAAACAAAACATAATGAGCACTAGGAACCCTCATGTCATTTAAAAAGTATACAGATCTTTATAACGAGCCTTTTCAAATATAAACCACCAGCTATGTTTTGTGGTTGCACACCCTCATCCTGCTGCAATGATATTGCCAAGACTTCATAGAATCGTAAGATGAAAAAAGGGCTGAAATCTAACCTAAACCAACAACAAACAAAAGAGAGTCCGGGTTTGTTTGCCATGGTGTGCTTCTGCAACATCCCAAATGCAGGTGCAGTGCAGCTCCAGAAGAAATCAAATTTCCGCTCATACTCCTCCCATGAAGGAGAAAGGGGCTTATCCCAACCTCATGTGAACCATGCTACACTTCCAAGCTGACTCTTTAAGGCAGAGGTCCTCAAACTAAGGCCCGGGGCCGAATACGGCCCTCCAAGGTCATTTACCCGGCCCCCACTCAGGGTCAACCTAAGTCTGAAATGACTTGAAAGCACACAACAACAACAACAACAACAACAATCGTATCTCATCAGCCAAAAGCAGGCCCACACTTCCCATTGAATACGAATAAGTTTATATTTGTTAAAATTGTTCTTCATTTTAATTATTGTATTATTTTAAATGTTTTTGCACTACAAATAAGATATGTGCAGTGTGCATAGGAATTCATTCATTTTTTTTCAAATTATAATCCAGCCCTCCAACAGTTTGAAGGTCTGTGACCTGGCACTCTGTTCAAAAAGTTTGAGGACTCCTGCTTTAAGGCATAGCAAAACAGCAGGGTACAGAGACTGCTAGCCAGAAATGGGAATTTGGCCCTTGGTTGAAAAAGCCTGTTCTATGAAACTACCTAAGCAGCCAGGTTGGTGGATATGAGAAAGGGAACTTGGTCAGCAATAGACCTACATCTCTGGAATGCACTACCAACTAATCCATGCTGTTTAACATCTACATCAGTGGTTCTCAACTTGTGTGTCCCCAGGTGTTTTGGCCTACAACTCCCAGAAATCCCAGCCAGTTTACAGCTGTTAGGATTTCTGGGAGATGAAGACCACAACATCTGGGGACACACAGGTTGGGAATCATTGACTTACATGAAACCATTGAGAGAGATAATCTAGAAAGGAATTGGAAGGGTGCTATCACTATGATGATGACAACCAAATACTTTTCTCTATGCATTCAGTAATATAATAACTTGTTCCTCTCCTCTGAATGAACACCTTGGGGAGATAATAGGTTGAATGAGGAAAGACATGCTGAAACTGAATCCAGGTAAGACAGAAGTGCTAACCTGGGTTTGGAGGTGTGTCAACCAGTTCTTGTCAGGGCTTCAAGAGCCTGGATTCTTTCCTCCAAAGGGCAGTCCAGATAAATGTGACAGCCAGGAGTGCTTACTGTCCGTTCCAGCTATTCTCCTTCCAAAAACTGGAGAACCTGAAAATGGTGATGGTGCCCTGAAGTCCAAGGGCTGGATTTCAGCTATGACGAGCAGCCATATTTGTTGTTGTGTGCCTTCAAGTCATTTACAACTTATGGCAACCCTAAGACAATCCTATCATAGGATTTTCTTGGTAAGAGTTGTTCCAAGGGGTTCTTTTGCCTTTACCTTCCTCTGAAGCTGAGAGAGGGTGACATGCTCAAGATTTCCATGGCTGAGCAGGGACTCAAACCCTGGTCTTCAGAGTGGTAAACCAATGCTCAAACCACGACGCCAGGCTGGATCTCACCAACATATGAAAATAATTCCACTGATTGCCAAAGTACAAAATGTTGCCTATTGCCTTTAAAACCCTGCATGGTTACATACAGGACTGCTTTCTCCCATATAAACGATCCCATATACTCAAGTCCACTGGGAAGACATCGATTTCAGTCAGCTAAAAGTAGTCTGACTGTTACCCAGAGGACATTTTCTTCAGCTGCCACAAGACAGAGGAATGAACTGCCAGAAGAGCTTCTGCTGGAAATACTGTCTGTATTTCAATCTGCAGCAACAATCAATCTCTTCCAGCAGGCCTATTAATATTATATTATAGTTTTAAAAGTATTTATTGATAGATTTTAAAAAGTATTGATTTTGTATGTTCCTATAAACTCACATTTTGTGTTGTGATGTATTTGATTATTTAAACTATTTTATTTAAGTATTTTAATGGATTTCAATTGATTGGTTTGATTAATTCCATTTTAATATTATTTATATGCTGTGGTTTTTAAACTGCACTGTTTTCTGATGTTGTGAGGTGCTTTATGTCTCATTTGAGGTGAACATGGGATATAAATAAATAAAATAATAATTCCCAGGCTCAGTACACAGGTGAAATTTAAAAGTTCTTAGAGAGCCAGAGTGGGATCTGTATATATGTACAGTAGAGTCTTGCTTATCCAACATAAACGGGCCGGCAGAGTGCTGGAGAAGCAAAAATGTTGAATACTAAGGAAAGATTAAGGAAAATTATTATTTATTATTTCAGATATTTGTACCCCACCCTTTTCAAACTCTGGGGGGGGGGGAGGGTGTCACCTATTAAAAACCTATTAAACATAATTAAATTTGTAAAATAAATTAAATGTAATTTAATTTGTAAAATAATTAAATTACGTAATTATTCTACAAATTAAGCATCAAAACTTCATGTTTTACAACAAATAGACAGAAATAGCAGTTCAATACACAGTAACATTATGTAATGCATTCATGTAATGTATTTACAAATTTAGAACCAAAACATTGCAATGCATTGAAACAGCTGTGGATCTGGGCAGGAGGCAGACTGCGTTGAGTAACACAGAATGTTGGGTCAGTGAAGGTTGGATAAGCAAGACTCTACTGTATGTATGTATATGTATGATTAATGGTTTCAGTGCCCCTAAAAGAACCCCATACCTTGTGTTACTGTGGAGCAGAACAGACAACTCTGTATGCTTGTCCACTGTGCCCTGCCTCATGGACAGAGGAGGAATTGTTGGAGGCTACAGACAATGCCGTTACTGTTGCCCGTTTTTGGTCAAAAGATATTTAGCCGCCTGCGCACCTTCTACTTTTATCAGTTTTATACTAATTTATGCAGTGGTTTTGATATGAAATAAATAGTGCTCCAATCCCCACTCTGCCATAGAAACCCAACAGATAATATTGGTGAAGTCGTATTCATTTCAGCCTAAGAGGAAGGCAACAGCAGACATACTCTGACAAAAACTTTGCCAAGAAAACCATATTATAGGGCCTCTTATAAGTTGGAAACCATTGGAAAACACAAAACAGCAAACCAACTAATGATGTTAAGCCCCATCACTCATGATCTCCAAGAAAATGCTCAGGAACCATTTGTATTCCTTGGCCTTATCTTGTTATGTGCTATTTCTTTTATAACAATTGTATTTCATTTTAGCATTTTGTCAGGTATAATGTCTAATTCATGGTTGTCAAGGGCTTTTATTAACCCTAGTGCTTTATTTTAGCATCCGCACTGCCTAAAGAGGGGTTTGTGCCCAAAAGGCAACCTCAACTGGTTTACTATCATTTTAAAAAAACAGTAATAACAGTGTAAATCATCAATCCTTATTGCTCCAGACTCCAGTCTCACTGAGAATACACATACCAAATACTGGCTTAGATTTTGTCTCAGTTGCAAGGTTGAAATTCCATTGCTTGATGTGATCTGCTGCATTGGTGGTACTTTTTGACAGTGAAGACAGTTCTCTATTTTGCTCCGCTCTTGATGCATTTGTGTTTACAGAAACATTTTGTGTCATTGCCTGGGAAGCAATAATATCAATTTCCTCCAAGTCATCTGCAGTGAAATCATCACTGTCCTGAAATGGATCTTCCATTTCTTTATGCCCAGTTGTGGCAAGGGTTTTATAGCGCTTATTGGGTGGAAATCCATCTCCATGGTTTCCAGTGTTACTTGTAGTTCTCTGGAAGGATGAAGTCGAAGCAGTCACTCTGGCCTGATCCACACCATATAATATAGAGCTGTTTCTCTTCTTATTCCCAAATAAATGGTTCACTGACATTCTGTGTCAGGAATTATCCTAGGAAAAAGAAACCACAAAACAAGGTTAAAGCTGCCGTGATCTTTCCAAATGACACGCACCCTATTTAAAATCAGTTCTGAGTCTCTTTTATTTCCTCAGCACTTTTCAATGTGTTATTACAGCCAATAGTAATCACCTTTTCAAGGAAATGATCAGGCCTTGCTCACAAATGCTCATGAGTGGGACCTAAACAAACCTACTGGAAGGTCTAATGCAAAGTTTCTCAACCTGGGGGTCGGGAACACCTGAGGGGTCACAAGTGGGTGTCAGAGAGGTCACCAAAGACCATAAGAAAACACAGTATTTTCTGTTGGTCATGGAAGTTCTCTGTGGGAAATTTAGCCCAATTCTCTCGTTGGTGGGATTCAGAATCTCTTTGATTGTAAATGAGCTATAATTTCCAGCAACTACAACTCCCAAATGTCAAGGTCTATTTTCCCCAAACTCCACCAGTGTTCACATTTGGTCATATTGAGTATTCATGCCAAGATTTATCCAGATCCATCATTGTTTGAGTTCACAGTGATCTCTGGATGCAGGTGAACTTGTTCATTCGTTCAGTCTCTTCCGACTCTTCGTGACCTCCTGGACTAGCCCAAGCCAGAGCTCCCTGTTGGCCGTCACCACCCCCAGCTCCTTCAAGGTCAAGCCAGTCACTTCAAGGATATCATCTTTCTATCTTGCCCTCTTCCTTTTCCCTTCCATTTCTCCCAGCATCATTGTCTTCTCTAAGCTTTCCTTTCTTCTCATGATGTGGCCAACGTACTTCATCTTGGCCTCTACTATCCTTTCCTCCAATGAGTAGTCGGGCTTTATTTCCTGAAGTATGGACTGGTTGGATCTTCTCGCAGTCCAAGGCACTCTCAGAACTTTCCTCCAACACCACAGTTCAAAAGCATCTATCTTCCTTCGCTCAGCCTTCCTTATGGTCCAGCTTTCACATCCGTAGTTTACTACGGGAATACAATTGCTTTAACTATGCGGATCTTCATTGCCAGTGTGATGTCTCCACTCTTCACTATTTTATCAAGATTGGACATTGCTCTCTTCCCAAGAAGTCAGCGTCTCCCGATTTCCTGGCTGCAGTCTGCGTCTGCAGTAATATTTGCACCTAGAAATACAAAGTCTGTCACGGCCTTCATGTTATTCTCCTCTATTTGCCAGTTATCAATCAGTCTGGTTGCCATAATCTTGGTTTTATGATGTTTAACTGCAACTCAACTTTTGCACTTTTGAACTACAACTCCAAAACTCAAGGTCAATCCCATCAAACTCTTCCAAGTATTTTCTCTTGGTCGTGAGGGTTCTGTGTGGGAAGTTTGGCCCAATGCTATCGCTGGTGGAGTTCAGAATGCTCTCTGATTGTAGGTTAATTATAAATCCCAAATGACAAAATCAATCCCCCCCAACCCCACCAGCATTCAAATTTGGGCGAATCGGGTATTTGTGCCAAATTTGGTCCAGTGAATGAAAATACATCCTGAATATCAGATATGTACATAACGATTCAAAACAGTAGCAAAATTATAGTTATGAAGTAGCAACAAAAATAATTTTGTGGTTGGGGGTCACCAAACATGAGGAACTGTATTAAGGGGTCGCAGCATTAGGAAGGTTGAGAAACACTGGTCTAATGATTTGGACAAGCCGCAGGAATAAGGAGAATATCATGCCTGTAAATCAAGCTGTCTACTGACTTTAGTGGTATTTAGTAACTATCTGGAGAGCCCACAAGAAGAATGACATTTCTGGAAGTTTAGCAGAAGTATCACCACAACAAACCTCTTAAAAAACAGACTGATATCCAAATCGTCACAATGGATACACACTTTAGAATTAATCCAGTTTGGCACCACTTTTAACTGCTGTGTCTCCATGCTATGGGATCATGGGAATTGTAGTTCCACAAGGTCTACAACTCCCATGATTCCATAGGTGTGAGTAATAGCAGCTCAAACGGTGCCAAGTCGCACTCATTCCACGGTACAGATGCTCCCCCACGACCTCCCTGCACTCTCTCTGGACTTACCCCAGCTTTCCCGCGTCAGGAGAGGAGGCTCTACAAGAAGAGCAGCAGCATCTGTCCGGCATCGCTTCCCCGGTCTCTGTCAACCAATAGGAAGCCAATTCTCTCCCAATGACGTCCCGTCCGGTCTATTGGGGGAGGGACGTGCAAAGAAAAGGTGACGCGCGAAATGGAAGGCGCTCACCCATTGGACGGGAGGGATTTCCCTGGCTCGTGACTAAACGCTAAGAATCCTTGCAAGCGCAAAGTGTCAGGGGGAAGGGGGCCAGTTGGGTGTGTTTTTTATCTTGTCTCTTCCCACCCATAATCCAGTTTGGCATCCACTTTAAATGCCTTGATTCAATGCAATGAAATCATGAGAGTTGAGTCCAGCAACCTCAATCCATGGCTGATACCAAATGAGAGACTCCTTTCCTGGGTACACAGAAAACTGGGCGACTTGGAAGGCGCTGAACAGATTGCCCTCTGGCACCACGAGATGCAGAGCCAACCTTAAGAAATGGGGCTACAAAGTGCAATCCACGACGTGCGAGTATGGAGAAGAGCAAACCACAGACCACCTAGGCTACTGCAATGCAAACTTGAGCCCTGCCACATGCACAATGGAGGACCTTCTAGCAGCAACACCAGAGGCACTCCCAAGTGGCCAGCTACTGGTCAAAGGACATTTAATAGGATGCCAAATTGGCAAACTGTCATTTTTTAAAAAAATACAACACAACTGTTTGGTTCGCTTCTGACACAATAAATAAAATGCGAGTTATATTTTTCACAAGTGGCTGAGGGGGGAAAAGAAAGGGCCTGAGGCTGTTAGGAATGATGGGAGCTGAAGTCCAAAACACCCGGAGGGCCAAAGTTGGCCCATGCCTGGTGTAGATTAGTTTCATAAGTATAATGCTCATTCCTTTTTTCTGTATGGATATGTACTGAAAGACGTTGTTTGTTTTGTTTAAGTCACAGCCACAAATGCGTAAGAACAAAATCAGTTATGTGGCCCCTTCTGGAAAACATCTGCTTTTGCATAAATGTGCATAACCTCTCAACCTTTTGTCCTACAGGTTTGTGGATTTCAACTCCCAGAAACCCCAACCAGCTTGGCCAACTGAAATGCACAAAGAGTGTAATCTTCTGACCACTTCGTTAGGCTTATTGAACACACTGGGACTTATTTCTGAACCATGTGTCAAGTACTGCAAAGTTACTTGCTCTTCAACCACTCCAACATAGAGATTCTTAATATGTGTTTCACAATGTTTATCTGGAAATTACCCTTTGTGGTTTTACAAAGATAAGAGGATTGCAGCTTTGGGTCAGAAGATACAGAGAGGCATGACAGCGTATTCTTCTACTTGGTGTTGCAAGGTGCCTAAACTTAATAACCAAACATGGAGAAGCAGTCAGTCTTGCCTCTTTAGATAAGTTATGTAGCTGAATTGTGAGTTATATTATTCCCTTTGGCTGTTATAAGATTGGGGCGCAGTACAGGAGAACAAGGATAGGCCTGCTAGTTTTTGCTGGACTACAGCATTCTTCATTTTGGCAATGCAGAACAATAACATCTAGAGGGCCTTTTCTAATGGCTTCTTCAACAGAAATTGAGCTATGTGGTTCAAACATCTTTACACCTTATGTCGACAATATTTAGGACAGAGGTTGCAAAAGTATTACTATGCCCACTGGCAGTTCTACATTTACAATTCCAGAATCTCTGAGGATACTGTATTCCAGAAGCCAACAACACCTCGAGGTTCATTTATATGTGAAGCTGTCCAAGCAGGACAAGTATTTTCTACCCCTGTGACCTTCTATGAGCCACATGGGCTGTCAAAGCCAAACTCCCCAATCATGGAAATTATCACAAATATATTTCTAGTTTTGAAAGCACAACTGCATTGGGCTTCCTGCAATATACAGTATTTAAAAGGTAAACTACAATTCCTTTTTAAGGATGAATGAATGAATTTTATTACAGACCAAGAGTGTAAAACTTTAAAACATTAAAAACATTTTAAAAAACTGTGTTAACATTAAGACCAGAAGTTCACATTAAAAGAAGAATGTCCATGATATGGAGTCGATCATGTGCTTGGCTTCATATATGACACTGTGAGTATGGATAATAAAATGAATAAGTTAAAACTTTATCTGCTAAAATCGTTCACAAACTGCTTCCTTATTTTTATAGCTGACACACAAAACATTAGCCACTCTATAAGTGATCAATGGATCCCTATCCTCTATAATAAGTTTTAGATATTATTTATTTATTTATTTATTTCACATATTTGTATCTTGTCCTTCTCAGCCGCTGCCCCCTCACGCTCGGGGGAGGATTCAGTGCAGCTTCCCAAAAGGCATCTATTTGATGCCAACAAACAAATGATAAATAATAATTACAAATAAAACAGTTATTAAAACATTAATTATTAAGACATTCATTTAAAATCACACAAGTTCATTTCTGCCAGGGATCTTCTGTACAATGGGAGTAATAAAAACAGATAAAGTATCCTAATAGATGTGATATTGTAAAAGGGATGCCTGGCAGTTTCTACTCTCTCCATACCGCATGGGCATATTCGCTCATGGTAGGGGATACCTGTAAACTTTTTAATTTTTTTAATTTAACTTTTAATGCACAATTGCATTGGGATTCTTGCAATCTACAGTATTTAAAAGCTGAACTGCAATTCCTTTTCAAGGATGGTACAAGAAGTCTGGAGGGCTAGACAGCTAAAAAACAACAACCTTAAAAGGTGCATCCACTCTTATATCCACAATTACAAGCTGTATCCCAAGGTCACACTTCATCTAACCTGTAATAGAGACACCATTATGTGTAGATCTTGCCTTTCTCCTCTGTTATTGCTCATGCAATTTTAATCAAGATCTAAAAGACCATATAGGTTTCTATGTATATATCTTCACTTTCTTCCCTTTCTCTTGCTGCCTGTTTGTTGTGCAGAAAACTGCTCCTGAGGAAAAGTTAATCCTTTACATCAGAGAGCGGCAGATGGGGAGAGGGACAAATGGATGAAAATGAACCAATCAATTTCCTTGCCTGATTGATTGGACATTCCTTCCATTTATACACAGAGTAGTTTGGATCCAAGCTTCTTTAACTACAGCAAATATTCTAAACAATTTACTAGATTTCACAAATTCCCAGGATAATGAGAATGCATTCCAATTCTTTCCCAAATCAGATACTTTAATCTAAAGTGCCAGTGACATCGCCCAAAGTACACAATGAATCCAGATACTGATTAATTTCTAAGGGTTGAATTTCTCTTTATACCATTAAGATGAATTAGCAGTATGGCCAATGATCTCATACTGGCCATAATTGTTAAAAGTGACTTTTGTGGGCTCAGAAATCATTTCATTCTTTCAAGAATTGTATGCACTTGCTTGCTGCTGAAAATACTAGCTCTGTCTCATCAGTTAAACTGACACAATGACCCAGTCTGTTTAGAACATCAATACTTTTTCTACTTCCAGTAATGCTATTTTTAGCCATCCCAAGCTGGAGATCCTCTGCAGGCTCCCTTTTTCCATTAGTAACTCAATATAACTGTCATGAGTACATTAATTCAGTTTCCTTTTTTCTGACTTCAGAAAAGAGCAGCAGATAGAGAGATCTGGGTCAAAATTGGCTTGCATTCTATCATGCATCTCATAAATAAGTAAGAGAACCTTTAACAAGGAATCTTCCAGATTCTGAATTTCTATCACCCCTCACCACTTGCAACACTAACTAGAATTAACAGAAGTTACAGTTCAACATCTGGAGGCCTACATGTTCCATAGCCCTGTCATCATGTAATAATTTAGTATTAATTTGTACACAAATTAGAATAGGTTTCTGGCACCGATGCTTTGGGGACTATGTTTAATACAGTACATTGGGACACATTTCTATCAAAAACAATAGACCTTTCAATCATGTATGCTATGACACAACCTATATTTTATTTCTTTGGAAAATGTCTGTTGATACAGAAGATACAGAAGCCAATTTTCTCTCAGAACATACCAGCTCACGTTGTAGATTGGTTAGAAAATAAATACTGTAACATATGCTGACAATTGTCATGGGCTCCAGCAATCAGCAGCTGGAAATACGTCAGCAGTCTGGTGAGGTCACATAATCAGGCAATTTCAGGTTGATTTAGAACGAATTTTTAGTACTAATTTCTAAGCTGAAGAGCTGGTGTTGTCTGTAAATGCCTCCACGGTAATGTGGCTGGCATGACTGGATGGAGTGCTGTTACCTTCCCGCAGAAGGAGTACCTATAGATCTATTCACATCTGCATGTTTTCGAACTGCTAGGTTGGCTGAAGCTGGGCCTAACAGCAGGAGCTCACCCGCTCTCTGGATTCAAACTGCCGACCTTTCTGTCAGCAAGTTCAGCAGCTCAGCAGTTTATTCCGCTGCACCACCAGGGGCTCCCCTTTAATTATACAGTACTGCAAATGATGTCGTTCCAAATGCTGCTCTTAAAAAAAAATTCTAGAAATAAACACGGAGGAAACAGGCCCATCCCTGCATCTGGACTTCAGCAATTGAACAAGAAGGGGATGAGGGATCTGGGTATGTATAGCTTGGAGAAAAGAAGGCTTCTTGCGCAAGTGCCATGCTACTATATGCTGCCGAAGCGAGAGAAATATGAGCAATAATAAAAATAGAGATTGATTTTACACCAAAATTAGCATTATTACTTATACATGATAATATAATTCCCTTACAAGAGGACAAAGAATTTGAACAGAGAGCAGAAAATGTTTTGGGCATTGCTAATGTCATCTTTGGCCACTGCACAACTCGTTTCCTCACAATAACAGGGATGTGTGAGGACATGAATAGGGATGGTCATGTAAAATGTTCCAGCAGTTAGGACCCACAGATAATAATTTAGGGTGCATCTACATTATAAAATTAATGCAGCTTGACCACTTTTAACTACTAAAGCACAATGCAATAGAATCACAGAATCACAGAGTTGGAAGAGACCTCATGGGCCATCCAGTCCAATCCCCTGCCAAGAAGCAGGAATATTGCATTCAAAGCACCCCCAAGAGATGGCCATCCAGCCTCTGTTTAAAAGCTTCCTAAAGAAGGAGCCTCCACCACACTCCGGGGCAGAGAGTTCCACTGCTGAACAGCTCTCACAGTCAGGAAGTTTTTCCTAATGTTCAGATGGAATCTCCTTTCTTGTAGTTTGAAGCCATTGTTCCGCATCCTAGTGTCCAGAGCAGCAGAAAACAAGCTTGCTCCCTTCTCCCTATGACTTCCTATCACATATTTATATATGGCTATCATGTCTCCTCTCAGCCTTCTCTTCTTCAGGCTAAGCATGCCCAGCTCTTTAAGCTGCTCCTCATAGGGCTTGTTCTCCAGACCCTTGATCTGGACACATTCCTCTGGACACATTCCAGCTTGTCAATTTGTTGTTCATTCGTTCAGTCGTCTCCGACTCTTGTGACCTCATGGACCAGCCCACGCCAGAGCTCCCTGTCGGCTGTCACCACCCCCAGCTCCTTCAAGGTCAATCCAGTCACTTCAAGGATGCCATCCATCCATCTTGCCCTTGGTCGGCCCCTCTTCCTTTTTCCTTCCACTTTCCCCAGCATAATTGTCTTCTCTAGGCTTTCCTGTCTCCTCATGATGTGGCCAAAGTACTTCAACTTTGTCTCTAGTATCCTTCCCTCCAATGAGCAGTCGGGTTTTATTTCCTGGAGGATGGACTGGTTGGATCTTCTCGCAGTCCAAGGCACTCTCAGAACTTTCCTCCAGCACCACAGCTCAAAAGCATCTATCTTCCTTCGCTCAGCCTTCCCTAAGGTCCAGCTCTCACATCCGTAGGTTACTACAGGGAATACCATGGCTTTGACTAGGCGGATCTTTGTTGCCAGTGTGATGTCTCTACTCTTTACTATTTTATCGAGATGGGACATTGCTCTCCTCCCAAGAAGTAAGCGTCTTCTGATTTCCTGGCCACAGTCTGCATCTGCAGTAATCTTTGCACCTAGAAATACAAAGTCTGTCACGGCCTCAACGGTTTCTCCCTCTATTTTCCAGTTGTCAATCATTCTTGTTGCCATAATCTTGGTTTTTTTGATGTTTAGCTGCAACCCGGCTTTTGCGCTTTCTTCTTTCACCTTGATTAGAAGGCTCCTCAGCTCCTCCTCGCTTTCGGCCATCAGAGTGGTGTCATCTGCATCTCTGAGGTTGTTAATGTTTCTTCCAGCAATTTTCACCCCAGCTTTGCATTCATCCAGCCCCGCACATCGCATGATGTGTTCTGCATACAAGTTAAAAAGGTTGGAGTGAGAGGATGCAGCCTTGCCGTACGCCTTTCCCAATCTTGAACCAGTCTGTTGTTCCGTGGTCAGTTCTGACTGTTGCTACTTGGTCCTTGTACAGATTCCTCAGGAGAGAGACAAGGTGGCTTGGGATGCCCATCCCACCAAGAACTTGTCACAGTTTATTATGATCCACACAGTCAAAGGCTTTAGAATAGACAATAAAACAGAAATAGATGTTCTTCTGAAACTCTCTGCCTTTCTCCATTATCCAGCGGATATTGGCAAATTTGGGTCTCTCATTCCTCTGCCTTTCCTAAACCCAGCTTGTACATCTGGCAACTCTCTCTCCATGTATTGCTGGAGTCTTCCTTGCAGGATCTTGAGCATTACCTTACTGGCATGAGAAATAAGGGCCACTGTACGGAAGTTTGAGCAGTCTCGCATTTCCCTTTTTTGGTATGGGGATATAAGTTGATTTTTTCCAGTCTGGATGGCCATTCTTGTGTTTTCCATATTTGCTGGCAAATGGCATGCATCACCTTGACAGCATCATCTTTTAAGATTTTAAACAGTTCAGCTGGGATCCCGTCGTCTCCTGCTGCCTTGTTGTTAGCAATGCTTCTTAATATCTCTCTTCAATATCTCTCTTCAATTGGACACAATATTCCAGATGTGGTCTGATCAAGGCACAAGGCCTGGATCTAGACACTATACTCCTCTTGATGCAGGCCAAAATCCCATTGGCTTTTTTTGCCGCCGCATCACATTGTTGGCTCATGTTTAACTTGTTGTCCACGAGGACTCCAAGATCTTTTTCACATGTACTGCTCTCGAGTTTATAGGCTGGGGGCTTCTGGGAACTGTAGTAGGCTATTAGGAATTGTGGGAGTTGGAAGTCCAAAACACCTGGCGGGTCGAAGAGTGCCCATATCTGGGGTAAAGGCACCGAATGCTAATATGAATCATAATAGAAAACAAGAGAGAGGCCTGTGTTGCCTGCAAGACCTAAGATTAGATTTCTCCCCATTGTCTCCCTCCCCGGGGGCTGCAGCCCCGCCCGCGCGACGTCTACGTCACCGCCAGATAGTAAACATTTCCCTCGCAGGGCGACTAAGCCACGCCCCCTCCCCGAACTCCCATTGGCTCCTTCCCCTCTCCTAGGCAACCCCTCCCTCTCCCCCGCCAACCGCCGCAGCAACCAAATAAATAAACTGACTGAGTGACTGGCGCACTAGCCTTTCTTGCCCCACCCGTCTTCGAGTCCTTTCCTCTCAAACCCAGAAGCCCCGCCCTCTCCCTAACTTTTCTTCAGCACTGTTAGAGGCAGGCAGGCAGGCGCGCGCGCGGGAGGGCTGGGGCGAGGAAGAGGCAGACTTTCCATCAACCGACGTTTTCCACCTTCCTACCCCTCCCCCCCCTTCACATACACACTTCCTTCTAACCAATGAGAAAGGCGGGTGTCACTTCTGGCCCAATCGGGAGAGCCGTCCTGGCGTCCTCGAGACGGAACGCCTTGTTTCTATGATGCAGCGGCGGCAGGGCGCGGCGTCATTGGCTGGCGCTGGCCCCGCCCCGCCCCGCTGGCTGGTGCTGCTGCTGCTGTGGTGGCGGTGGGCGGGGCGGGGGAACGGCCGCCTCTTGTCTGGTTCTGCCTGGATCTGTTTACTTGGTCTCGGCGGCGGGAGGAGGCGGAGCGGAGCCGAGGAGAAGGAACAGCGGCTCGGCCGGCCGCGGAAGGGACTCCCCAGCGCTCCAGCGGCTCTCCCCCGCCGCCCACCCTCCGCCCCCGTGACACGGCCCCTCGCCGCCCTCTGCGCCTCGCTCTCCCGCTCTCCCGCTCTCGCTCTCTCCGGCGCGCTCGAGGCCCAGCCGCGGGGAGGAGGAAGAGCAGCAGCAGCAGCCCTGGCCATGAAGACGGAGATCTCCACGGCGGCGGGCTTCATCACCCGCCTCCTCCGGACGCCCGGCGGCATCGACGACGAGGAGCTGCGCTGCTTCAGCGAGTCCCTCCAGGAGGCGCTGCGAGGTGAAGGGAGGGAGGGAAGGAAGGAAAGAAGGAAAATGAGGGGGAAAGGAAAGGAAAAGGAAGAAACGAGGGGGGGGGAGGAGAAAAGGGGGAAGAAAGGAGACGGAAAGAGGGAGGAAAAGGGAAGAAAGGGGGGAAAGGAAAAGGGGGAAGAAAGGAAGGGAAAGGCTGAAAAAAGGAAGGGAAAAGGAAGAAAGGGGGGAAGGAAGGGGAAAAGGAGAAAGGGGGCGGAAAGGAGAGGGAAAGGAAGGAAGGAAAGGGGACGGGAGGGAAAGGGAGAAAGGAAAAGAAAGGAGGGGGAAAGGAGAAGGAAGGAAGGAAAAGAGGGAGGAAGAAGAAAGAAAAGGGGGAAAGGAGAAAGGAAGGAAAAGAGGGAGGAAAGAAGGAAGAAAGGTGGGGGAAAGGAAGGAAGGGAAAGAGGGAGGAAAGGGGGAAGAAAAAAGAAAGGAAAATGGAGAAGGAGGAACGAAAACGGGAAGAAAGAGAGGAAAAGACGGACGAAGAAAACTAGGAAAGGAAAGCAGGCAGGGTGGAAAAAAGGATGAAAGGAAAAAATAAGGAAGGAAAGCAGGAGGAAAAGAGAAAGGAAGGAAGGCAAGGGGAGGGGAAAGCAAAGGAGAAGTAACAAAGAAGGAGTAAGGAAGAGAGGGAAAGAGAAAGGGAGGGGGAAAGGAAGGAGGAAAGTAAAAAGGGAAGAACAATTAATTAAGGAAAGGAGGAAGGAAGAGAGGAGGGAAAAGGAGAAAGTAAGAAAGAAAAGGGGTGAGGGAGGAAGTAAGGGAGAGAAGTAAGGAGAAGGGGGAGGGAGGAAAAAAGGAATAAAGGGGGAAGAAAAGTAACAAAAGGAAGGAAATGAGGGAGGGAGGTAAGTGAGGGAGGACAAAAAATAGAAGGATGGGAGAAAAGGAAGTGAGAGTAAGGAGAAGGATGGGAAAGGAAGAAAAGATGGGGGGGGTGAGAGGAAGGGAGCCCCATCATCCCTCCACAGCCCTGTCCCTCTGCTGCCTCAGGCACTCCCTCGAGGGGCACCTCCAAAGACATTCCTTCCCAAGATCTTCCTGCCCCCTTGTTGTTTCCCTCCTAGACCCCTTTCTGCCTCTGGTTCGCCTCTCAGCCCAGCTTGATCAAAGAGCCTTGAGGGGAATTAAAAGAACTCCCCATTATAGAGGGGAGGGTTTGGGGAGATCCTAAGGACTCCTTTATAGTTGCTCCTTGGTTTTCCACAGATTCTGTAACCACAGATCCTCCATGACTTGAAAGTATCCCCCACCCCCAGTTCCAAAAGGCAGACTTTGATTTTGGCCACTTTACATCAGGGACACCATTTTACCATGTGATTGTGTATAATGGGACTTGGGCATCCATGGATTTTCTGCTCTCTCTCCCTCAACTTGCCTCAGTTTCTGTATTGTTTTCCTTAACCCTCCTCCTCTCCTTTGGTCAGTTGTGAGTCATAAAATTTGAGGATTTAAAGATGGTAGTCCACATGATGGTAAGCTCAAGGTGGGAGCAATGTGCTTTACATTACACAAATGCACCAAGAAACTCCAATTAGTTCAAAACATGGCAGCCATATTGGGTATAGGAACACCTAGGAGTGAGCATATTTCACCCATATTCAAGTCACACACTGGCTGCCAATTAATTTATGGGCAAAGCACAAAATGGTGGTTTTGATCTTTAAAACTCTACGTGGTTTGCGTCCAGGTTACCAACAAGAGTGCCTTCACCTGCACGATCCGCCCCTTAGACTACTTAGGTCCCCTGGTGCATGCTTACTCCCACCAGCCAGAACCCAACTGATGAGCTCTTATAGCTGAACAAGGTGTCGGAATTTAAAACACCATTGAAGTGTCATCCCTTCCACCAGGCCTACCCAGTCAATTTTCAATCATGAGTTTTGATTTATACTCCATTGCTACTATATGTCAATTCTGCATCTGTATTTGGTGCAAGTTTTTTATAGTTTGTGTTTTTATATATGTAATTTATTGTACATATTTTATATTCATATGTTTTTGACTTTGTTGTACCTCTCCTCAAGTCATCAGAAGAGGCGGGTAATAAATATTATTATTATTATTATTATTATTATTATTATTATTATTATTATTATTTTGGAGTCGTGTTGGCGTAGCAGGTTAAACTGCTAACCTGCCAAACTTGCTGATCGGAAGATCGGCAGTTTAAATCCGTGGAACGGGGTGAACTGTTATTAGCCCCAACTTCTGCCAACCTAGCAGTTCAAAAACATGCAAATGTAAGATCAGTAGGTACTGCTTTGGCGGGAAGTTAACTGCCACTCCAGGCAGCCATGCTGGCCACATGACCAAGGAGGTGTCTACAGTCAATGTCAGCTCTTCAACTTAGAAAAGGAGATGAGCACCACCCCCTAGAGTTGGACACAACTAGGCTTAATGTCAAGGGGAAACCTTTACCTTTATTATTATTTAGAATCATAGAGTTCTGCAGCTGGAATAGACCTCAAGGGCCATCCAGTCAAACCCCAGTCTACCATGCATGAACACATAACCCACCCCCTCCCAATTGATGGCCACAGAAGGAGACTTCACCACTCTGAGACCACTGCTGAACAGGATACCATCAGGAATCCTTTCTGGTGTTTATGTGGAATTTCTTTTCCTGGAATTTCAACCAATTGTTCTATGTCATAGTCTCCAGAGCAGCAATGAACAAGCCTGCTCCATCTTCAAGTATTTAAATATGGCTGTCATGGGCATGCCATAGTGTGTGTTCCATGCAGTCCGTAATGACTCCTTTCTCCCCCTCCCTCCCTTCCTTTTGTTCCCCTTTGCAGACCATTATAAGCACCACTGGTTTCCCCTGATGCCCTCCAAAGGCTCAGGGTACCGCTGCATCCGCATCAATCACAAGATGGACCCCTTGATAGGCAAAGCGGCGTGCATGATCGGACTCAGCCATGAGAGACTTTTCCAACTCCTGCCCAGTGAATTAACTCTTTGGGTCGACCCCTTTGAAGTGTCCTATCGCATCGGGGAGGATGGATCCATCTGTGTCCTCTATGAAGGCCCGCAGCAACAACCGGGAGCGAAGAACACTATAGCCCTGGAGAGCAGGAGCAGTTGTAAAGAAGAGTGGAGAATTGGGCGAGCCAGCCCTTCCAAGAGCTACAACATGATGACCGTGTCCAGTTAAAAAAAAAAACACAATTCACAGGCCCTGTACAATGATGTATGTATGTATCCCACTTTGATAATGAAGTTAGATGATGTAATTGATATGCCGATTTTCACCCCATAGTCATTAAAGTTGTAGTAGTACTGCCAAATCCTTTGTTTTGTGGCCAAGGGCTAGTGTATAAAAACAAAAGTTCTTTAACTGTGTACTTTTTTCTGGATTGTATACTGTAAATGAAATTGTACAGTCAAGACGATTGTTTTACAGATTTCTATTTTGGAAACAGAAACCTTGGCTATTTGTAATAAAAAAAGGAATTAACTTAAATCTTTTTATTTTAATAATGCCTTTTAGTTCACAGTAGCTTCCCCACCCCCAACACACATATTGAGCAATAATTTGCTGGTGGGTATAGAGAAGGAAGGCGAGTGGGTGGGAATTAGACACGCTGACCAACTGGAATTTTTAAACCTCTCCAGAGACTTGGCAGTACAGGCTGCTCCGGGGTCATAAACACAGCTGCATAGAACAAATATGATGTGTCCAATCTAAATATCCAGGCCAGGTTTCTTTCTTCCCAAACAGCTGTCAAGCATGGAAACAAATGTCTGGGAAGTAAAACTTAAAAAAAAACAACAACTGTTCATAGCTTATTCTTCTTGCTCCGAAAAAACAACAACCAACATTTTAATATGTTACATTGATCAATGCAGGATTAAAAAAATATACTGGTTGAAAGAAACATGTAATTGCTTATATAATTTGTTACTGGGAAAACTTCAGCTTTCAGAACATTTTATTAAAGCTGGAAAGTCCTGAGGCCAAACAACCTAATTGGGTATAATTATATTCCATTAATTTCACTGGGAATTATTTTCATGTGACATGGTTTCCTATTTTAAAAAATATTTGAAATAACAGATTCTACAAACTCCTTCTGTTTCTAATGCAAATGTTTGCTTTTCAACAGTAAATAGTTTTATTTATTTTTTGTTTCCAAACAATGTTTTATATCCACTAAGTGCTTTAGGATCAAACAACTGCCTTAGGTGTATTTCAGGCCTGATGATGCCAGGTGAAATTCTGTATTTAATGAAAGAGGACATTGTGGATTCTTTGTACATTTGGCAAGGAACCAACAAGCCTTGCTCTTTGTTACACTAATATGGTGAAAGGTAAGAGGGAAGGGGCAAGTCTGGGCAAATTCAAAGTGGCTGAAAAGGGGGTGGGAGGAAGTTTAGCATCTAACCATTTCAAAATGTCATTGATGTAGTCTGCTTTTGAATGGTGCTCTTGATAACTTATTTTTAAAAGGTAAGTCTGATAAACATTCTGTTAGTTGACACAAACCACCACTTCGGATGTTTAAACCACATGAATTCAATGTAACTTCATCTGCAATAAATTTTTCGAGACTTGACAACATAGCTATTTTAAATATATAAATTACTAACTTGAGACTTGTCAATAAATATTGGGTGAATGAGCTGTAACTTGGAAATCTTCCACTGATATTTTAGGATATACTATATTTGTAGTGTGAAACAAGCACCATGGTGAGCCCTGAAGTCAGCTTTCAAAAAAGAAATAGATTCTTACATATCAAATATTTTGGGAGGTTTAATATGAGAAAAGTTCTGATTATAGGAAACAATTTTCTTAAATTACTCCTACAGTAATATCTTTATACATAATCATTGATGTGAGTTAGAAAGCCAGACCTATGTTAAGAATATAATGAAATCTGGTGATACCTAAACTATTGCTTTTCTTTTATATTTATGTTATATTTGACTGGTAATGTGAGCAGAGAATATGAAAGACAAATGAAATCTAGATTCTAGCATTCCTTTTACAAAAGAAGTATTAATTGAATTGGTAGTCCCATACTAAAACCCCCACAATTCCCTGTCTGTTTGGACACCCAGACGAAATGAATTTTCAAAAAGAGAACTAAAACACTGTTCTTTTGTAGATAAAGCAGATGGCGGAGATTATTGTATCTTCTTTGCTTGTTAAAGAGAATATTCCTTCTTTTTGCAGAAAACATCTGTTTTTTAAACTTTGATTTTTAAAGAAGGATTATTTGCAGCTGAATCATTTCAGCTGTTCACAAACATTTTTGCAACAAATGGTTTTCAAATGTGTTTGGTTGTAATGCCAATAACATGCATGGAAAATAGAAGCAAACCTGAAGAGGCTACCTGCCTTCTAAGAGGCTAATAGCCTGCATTATAGAGGTGGAGGAAGGCAGTCTCCTCAAGCAAGTCCTTAGTTTCTCAGTGCACTAGATTTCACCATGTCCTACCAAATGGGCTGGTGCAAATGAAGTGACTGCTGCATCATTCTGCCGGCTTCGTTTCTGGGCTGTCTGTAGAAGAGCACTCGCCTCCTTGGAATTCCTTGTTACCAATGGCTAAAACAGCTTCTATGAATGTAGAAGTCTGATAAGAGAAAAAATATGCCAATTAGGACTTCCACTTCCTTGCTAATATCAAGTTCTGGGTAGCTCCATTTATTTTATGAGAAAATAAAACTTTAGATTCCATTAATTTCTAAAACAGAGTTTAGATAAAATAGCAAATCTTGATTCATATTGCCTTGGATATCCATGGTAATATTTGACCAGATAATAAAAGGTTTATGCTGATACAGTAATCTGGTTCTTCCAGATTACTGTATCAGCATAAACCTTTATTATCTGGTGAAATATTCTGAAGTTCTCTTCAGAATATTGCTTGTATCAGCCATCCATCATGCTTCAATACTATGCATAGGTATGCTTGAATAAGATGCGTGTGTGTCTTACTGAACAGTTATATTTATTTTTTAGTAAACATGGATTGGTTGCTATTTGTTTTGGGTTTTTTTGTTATGGAGAAACTACTCATTATTTCCATTTCCATGTAATAGAAAAAGCACACATTTTCAAGAAGCAAAGACATGGGTAATAATAGTTCAATAGGCCAACTCCATTTTGTTTAATATGTACAGAGATTATTCATTTTGAAGGTTTTGTGTATTTTTAAACCATGGCATTTAATCTGTTTTTCAGTAATAACTCAATAAGGAAGGTGTTAATTGTGATAAAGAAATGGGAAAACCAAACAATTAGTCTCTACAATACAGTGTAAAGACTACATCCCAAATGAGAAGCAGCTTGTATTAAACTTTTTAAAATTAAAAAGTGGATAAAATAATAAAATACAAATGTGAGAAGTAGACCAGCCATTAATATTAGAAGAGGGGGGACACCCCTGGTTAGAAGCAAAACACTACCATTATTGAAAAATGAGTTGAAGAGTTACCTTTTGCACATAATGGAAAGTTATAGTTCTGCTGAGAAACCAATATAAAATCTTTTGCTTTCTAGTGTTGACCATTCTACTAATCACAGCAGCCTTTTGTATTTTTGCTGTGCCATGTTATTGGGGGGAAAGTATTTTGAATGCAAAGAAGCTCTTTAGCGTAGAGTCAACATTACCAAGGATTAATCAGTAAAGACGTATGATCAATAAAGATTAAAAAAATATAAAACCAGGAAGACTAGGAACTAAATGTTCAATACAGAGCATGAAATACTCTTCCATTCTTATTAGATCACAGTACAGTTTCTGGAGCTCCATGTAAGGTCTGTCCAATAAGAGTCCTGTAACACAAAGCCACTTGAGAAATCAAATGATATATTAAGTTAGGGGGTGGATTTTTTAGTCATGGGGTAGGCTTTGTCCATGTGTTATTAGTTTTGCTCTTGTATTCCTAACACCTTCAAAAGCAGCTATAGAAATTGCTTGATGCTTCTGTTTGCTGAACTCAGCTTAAATCAAGTGCTGTGATTCTTTGTGTTGTTGTTTCAAGGCTCAGAGACTTTGGGATGTCTGTGTTGATGACTATTGCTGTCATTGCTACCTGCGCTTTAGCCATTTTGTATCTATATAACACCTCAGAAATAAATTTGGTCTCATTGGAACAAGATGTATGGGTTGTGGTGTTACAATGTGTGGATGGCACTGACTCTACTGGAGTGTTAGTGGGATCACCCTGCACTTCTTCAGACCTCATTTGGATCTAGCCGATGAATCTGTATTCCACAAAACATTAGGAATCATTGTTTCTGATGAAATGAACTCCATTTCCATGTAATAGAAATGGAGTTCCATGAAAACCACAAACACATTAAACCTGTTGGTCTTCAAGGTGCCACAGACTCTTATGGATGCACGTGTTTCTGTTCTCATTAATGTGATTTTATTACGGAAAATATATTGCACATTATTTTAATGTATTTTGTGCCCTGAATAAGGAATCTTTGGGCTGAAAACTATAACCAATTTGAAAATAAATTTAACAAGTAAGATGTATTGAAAGAATCATGAAATACACTGATGAAGTAGAAATGCCTTTCAGTTTCAAAGATGCTAGTCCCTTTGAATCAGACCAAAGACTTCTATAACACAGCATTTGGTTTTCTTTGATAGCCAACCAGTTTTTTTTGTTTTGTTTTTTTTTGTTTTTTTGGTTTTTTTGCAAAACCCACAAGCAAGATATCAGGACAATACTACATCCATGTTGTTATCCTCAAACTTTTTGAGCATAGGGCTGGTTCATGGTTTCTGAGACTGTTGGGGGGCTGGACTGTATTTTGAAAAAAAACATGAACAAATTCCTATACAGACTGCACATATCATATTTCAAAGAACAATACAATATTTAAGATGAAGAACAATTTTAACCAACTTAAACTTACCAGTATTTCAATGGGAAGTGGGGGCCTGCTTTTGGCTGATGAGAATCAAGTTAATTAGGATTGTTGTTGTGTGCCTTTAAGTCATTTCAGAGTAAGGGCAACCTTAAGTCTCAAGTTTAGGGCGGGGATCGGGTAAATGACATTGAAAAGTGACATCCGCGGGCCTTAGTTTGGGGACCCTTGTTCTATAACAACTAATATACAGTAATTGCAATACTAGCAGTATCCACAAGTTTCCAAAGAAACAGCATGGTGTATTGGCTTCTGTGCTGAACTATGGGCCCAGGGCTTGAATCTGTACTCCCAACACGGAGGCTGATTTTGGGCAAGTCACACTCTCAACCTCAGGGGAAGCAATGCTAAACTTCTTCTTGCCAAGAAAACTATGATAGAGGCGCCATAAATCACAGTCAACAGCAACAGTATCAAACAGTCAAACAGCATATATTTAATAATTAGAATACTTGTGTTCCTGATTATGTACCTTTTCTACACATAAACGTTAATTTTTTGCTGCCTGGGAAGATCATGGGCTGTTTGTTTCTGTTTCCTTTTGTGTTTGATACACTTTGTTCCCCAT